CGCAGTCATGAGGGTATATTTTTGCATATGGTTCTGTTGTCTTTCAGTAGTTAGTGTGGTGTTCTCACATGTGTGGGGAAGGGAATAAATCCAGAAAATTTGAAATAAAGTTTACTTGTATACAATAATAGAGGCTTTTACTTGGACAGCTACAAATATATTTTTTCTTGCTATTGCAAGCTGACATTATTTTCTGTTTGAAGCTCATCATGAAGCACATGGGGTTTTTTCCTTCTTTTTCCCTGTTAGTCTTACTGTGTTGTTTAATACGTGCCTGAAATTCTTATTAAAAAAAAAAAAAGAAAGTATTTTGCTTCTGTGTGCCCATGCAAGTAATGCAAAGCAGTTTGGGTGGCTGTAATTTGATTCTGTTACTTAAGGAAGTGAAGTAACCTTGGCAAAGCTAAAGTTCTACATTAAACTAATGTTTACTTTCAGAAATAAATGTGCATTGATCTTCATATGTCTGCTAATTTTCCTTTATTTGGGCAAAAGTTTGTTGGTGATCTAGATGAAATGGCTTTCACACATAAGAATTTTACCCAAGTATGTTTGCAATGCAACTATGACTTTAGCAAAATTAAAACTTTGCTAATTACATTTTTGATGTAACCATATAGTGGATGCAGTCTTATTTTATCTTGCATAGCCTTGTTACTAGTCAGGATGGAAAAGAAAACTGCGACTCTGACATGATCAAGGATTAGAAAAAGGAGAAGTCATTGGCCCCATGAGAAATGTAATGTGGATTTGTCTTGGTGGTAACTTCCCATTTGGATGTTCTGAGCATGCATGAAAAGTGGCTTTTTACTGCACAATTTACTCTGATTTTGCAGTTAGTGTCAAGATACTTTCTACCCTAAGCTTATGCCAAACTTAAATTCTTAGCTTTGAAAATCATCTTGTATGTGACTTCAAAATGAAAGGGATGCTGTATTTCAGAGCTGGGTTGCCTTTGGCGAATGTGTTTCAAAGCCAGGTTTCTGGTGTCCATAGCAACCTGTGGAGAGGGAGGAGAGGCTGGACCCAGATGGAGACCGACATGCAAATAGGAATTTGGAATTTGCTAAGTGAGAAAAGTGCTTTAGATTGAAGAAAGTAGCAGACCTGAGATGAGAGGCAACAGTGGACTGATTAAAGAGGGTGAAGCGGAGGCCATAAAGGGGAAATGGGTTGATGCATTTACGCCTAATAGAGCATACTAATTTTAAAAGACCTGAAATAACACCCTGAAACTATAACAAAATGTTGGTGAAAATTACTGTCAGTTTTCCTATTTCCCTTTGTGTGATGGTACGTGGAGCAGATAATAGTGTTTCCATGTTGCTGTTTCTTCATTAGCTCAGGGAAAATGTTTGTGCATCTTATCTCCTATCCTTAAGTATATATATCGTGTAATCTCACGTCATATTTGTTTTCCTCTCTACCCTGTTCTCCCATAAGCCCCTTACTCTATTCACTGCATAGACTTGCTTTTGAGTATCTGTTGCAGAAGGTGGAAGAGCTGGGTGAGTGAGGTAGGCCTATATGAAGAAAGTGTGTGGTCCCATATAATGGTTTTATAATTGTGTTAGGGAGCATAGGTCTGTTTCCTTAGGAAAATTCTGAGAACTAGTAAATTTGCCTAATTGTGTATCTAATGCAGTTGAACATAAAATATTGTTATGCCTCTGTATAAATTTATCGTAGATTATAATAAAATTTTATATACCTCATACCTTGTATACTGTACACAGTGCGTGTCCTTCTGTTTCAGAAAGAACAGTGTGTAACTGGAAGGGGTAGAGAAGAGAGGATGGCAGGCCAGAGTGTGGCCAGCAGGTCGAGGGAGGTTATCCTTCCCCCTCTACTCTGCCCTGGTGAGACCTCACCTGGAGTACTGTGTCTAGTTCTGGGCTCCCCGGTTCAAGAAAGATGAGGAACTCCTGGAGAGATTTCAGAGGAGAGCAACAAGGATGATTAAGGGACTGGAGCATCTCCCCTGTGAGGAAAGGCTGAGAGAGTTGGGCTTGTTCAGCCTGGAGAAGACTGAGAGGGGATCTAATCAACATGTATAAATATCTCAAGGGTGGATGTCGCGAGGACGGAGCCAGACTCTTCTCAGTGGTGCCCAGTGGCAGGACAAGGGGCAATGAACTGAAAACTGAAACATAAGAGGTTTCAGTTGAATATGAGGAAAAATTTCTTTACTTTGAGGGTGACAGAGCACTGGAACAGGCTGCCCAGGGGGGTTGTGGAGTCTCCTTCTCTGGAGATACTGAAAGCCCGCCTGGACGATGTCCTGTGCAACATGCTCTAGGTGAACCTGTTTTAGCAGGAGGGTTGGACTAGATCATCTCCTGAGGTCCCTTCCAACCCTTGCCACTCTGTGATTCTGTGATTTTGAGTAAGAAGTGGTTGATTGGAGTAGGATTCTTTAGTTTTGAGTAAAGGTAATTGAAGGCAAGATAGAATATAGGCATCAAAATAAGGACTAACATGAAAGGTGAAGATGACTGCTTGTTTACTGCCTTGTATAATTAAAAATTTGTGGATACCAAGTATAATTAACAGGACCAGGACTAAATAAAGGATATATCTTCTATTCAGATGCATAATTGAGCTGTGGAACTCCTTGCTTGTAGGTGCTAAAAATTTCCCCAGATCCAAAAAGTAATATTCACGGAAGAAGATTTGATGAACAGCTTTAAATCTTAAGATTCCATATATGACTTCAGAAGTTCCTGATTCAAAAAATCACTGAATATCTGGAGAAAATGCTTTATAAATATTGCTTTTAAGTGATATATGCTTATTCTATTCCTACATACCTCCTTTACCATCCTAGTGATACTTGCGAATAGCCACGGATAAAACGCCGGACCAGATGGATCTTTGGTATTGCATGTGGTGGCTATTTGTATGTACCAGTTAGGATGGTGAGTGCTTTAAAAAGCAGAGGAAGGAATCTGGTAATTCTGTATTCAGAGAACTTTTTCAATAATGTATGGTATATTTAAAAAATGAAGCCTCACACAAAGGAGAAAACAAATTTTGAGAGCTGCTTATAGAGACTCTTGCTAGGTATGTTCAAGGAATGCAACCAGATTTTTGCAGAATTAAATTTAATGTGTGATTATAGCATGAGCTGAGGGGTTTTTTTTATTTTTTTTTGCTTGTTTGTTTAAGAGAGTGGGGCAGCTGACTTAAGACTGAATGTTTTAGGAATTGCAGCTTAGGGTGCAGTAGGTATTCTTGGTGGTGTTTTCTGTTTGTTTTAGTAGGGTTTTGTTGTGTTTTTTTTTTTTTTAACAAAAAAGTTATAAATTTATATGCCAGCTGCTGCTTTTCATGTAAAATATTTGCTGTGTGCTATTGGTTCTGTAGAGGCTTGTTGATCTGGCCTTAGCTGTTAATACCTTCTGTAGCAGCACCTTGGAAGAAATTTTTTTTCTTGAAGAAAATAAAAGGAATGCAATGCTGATGCATGCTTTTAAGTGTTTTGATGCACAAACATGATCTAGTGCATATCCTTTTGACCGATGGACATCACATAATCTTAGTGTTGACTTGATCTTAAATTCCATGGAATAGTCTTTCTAAATACTGTTGGGCATTTAATGATGTTTTAGCAAAGCTGTCCTTTGTTGATATCAGGTAAATACAAAACAACATCCCTTCATTTTGCGATGTTCCTCCACCTTTTTTATTTTCCCTCCTCCTGAGCTGCACCAGAATGTCGTTGTTGTTTCCTCAGTGTAAATTGAATGTATTGTGAAGTGTAGCCTGTGACTAATTGCCTCTTGCTGTCTCTACTTATTAGCTGTCTGATGGTGATGTGGTTGCACCACTTTCTACACATGGCCTCAAGGATATGACATTGTGACACCCGCATTAAAATATGCAAGGCTTGATTTCAAAAGGCGTTTTGGGTTCGAAAGTTAGAGAGGTTATAAGCTAATATTGTGGCTGGTTTTACCCTTTTTATTTTAATCAAAATTAGGTGGTAATAGAATAAGGTGTACCTATTTCATGTTTATACATTCTAATATACAGTTGATATTCTAGAGGCTATTTCTTTTCAAATGTTCTCCAGTTTTGTTGAATTAAGGATCCTACAGTTTGAGCAGTATGTTCAGAATATGGCTTAGCAATTTTTTTGCTAAAAATGCATTTAAAGTTTGTTGAATATAAGCATTTTACAGCTCAGTTTGGTGCATTAGTGCCAGATTAAAATGCTATGGTGGCACACTGGCTTTTCAATTTGCACGCATCCTTATATTGCTAAACAATTTACCAAAATAAACCCAGTGCTGGACTAGTAATTGGTTATCAGCAAATGTGTGACTTAGAGGTAATTGTAGAGAGAGTAACTGTATGAGTGTCTTACTTATTCATTGGTGTCTTGGTAGCTGTGAATTAGTTCTGTTGCAAAAATATTTTGTGGTCTTTATCCTTTTTTAAGTAAAGATATTCCCTCTTTTCTTCTCCCTCCAGCTTCCCAATGAAACCTCAAATACTGTCTTACGAAATAAGGTGTAATTCAGTTTAGGAACAGAAACTTGGTATTCTCATGGCTTTCTTTCATTATCATGATGATGATAATTTTACAAGACAAACAGGAAACACAGAGCGGTTTCTCTATACGGTTTCCTAAAATAATGAATGGAGTTTACCAAAACTTCGTGGGTAAATTCTTGAAACCTCAGATCACTCAAGGCCTAAAGCTTAAGAGTGGTGAGCACCACCTCCTTGGACACTGGAAATTTTTAAGTCATCCAATTGAAAGTGTATGAAATTATTGGTCATTTTACCTACAAACTACAGATTTGGAATCTAGCAAACTAGTTTGTGTTTATTTAATCGGAACAAAGTATGTAGCATAATCTTTCACTAATGAAAATACTTGGTTCCTCACTGGAATTACTTTATGCACGCACATGTTCTATGGCTATACAAGTGTTTAATAATACTTCCTCTTTATTAATTTGTAATTTTTTTCAAAATTTTATTTTTTAGGGGTATATAAGAAGAAATAGGAACCTTTTCTCAAGCTGAAGACAAAGTAAAAGAAAGCTGTATCATGTGTTAGAATACTGAAGAGTGAAATTTCTTGGATTAGTATATTTCTGGATTGCAAAGCAAAAGAAAGAAGAGGCTGAAAATGGGGAGAAAGAAAATACAGATCACAAGAATAATGGATGAACGGAACAGACAGGTGAGAAACAAGGAGTCTGCATGAACAATTTGATCAGTAATCCTAAAAATTAATGGAAACTTTGAATACATTCATCTTAATTCACTTGGCGAAAGCTGAGCTTTGTCTTCATGTATCTAGAGATGGCATTACCAGAATACAAATAAGAAATGTGTCTCAATGGTTTTACTGCTCTTTTAGGGGAATTTGTTATATATAGGTAATATCAATTACTACTTTAAATCAAATTCACTGTAAAACTACTATTCCTATTTAATGGCACCCTAGCCTTTATTTCTAGTACAGTAAAACTAGATCCTCCAACTGTGTTGAAACAGGCACCTCACTTAGTAATGAAGGTGGAGAAAGGATGAGAAATTCAGAAAGTAATAAAAGTATTTGCTGCAGCCTCTTTGACAGAGGAGTTTGATATAGCCGTGGACAATGATCTACAGTGGTTTGGATATAGTAATGAAATTTATTAACATGATTCCATTTATAAGCTTGATTTATATTTCTTGTAAGAGCTGTTGACTACAGTCTTTTAAAATTTCCAGTCAAAAAGGAAGAGTACTCAAAAGTGCAGTTTTAGGGAAAGCTGCTTACTTAGTTGCTCTTGCTGTAATGAAGAGATGTCCTGTGAACTTGAAAAGTACCAAAAGTTGACTCTGCAGAAGCTGTGTCTCCTCTTAACTTCTAAATTGCTACACGAGATATGAAATAAAATTTTAATTGGATATTGAAATATATTGTGGTGTATCTGGAAGCTACCATTTTCAAGGAAAAGTGGTGTAGGAATGACTTTGGATTTTAAGGAGTATTCATAGTGGGTCAGACCAAAGATGCCTCTAGGCCAGTATCTTTTATCCAATGATGGTAATAAGCCAATAAGTGCAGGATAGAGGTGCACATGTTACACTACTCTGTAATCCTCTTCCAGCTTCTAACTATTCTTAGCTCAGGGATTTCCTGAGCTGGATGTGGTTTCCGTATATTTAGTAACCATTAATGGATTTTTTTTTTCTTGTTTTCCCCACCCCCTACCCGTGAACTTGTTCAGTTATCCTTTGAGCCCTTATAAAGTTGCAGCATTTGCAACATCTTTTGGCTAGGATTTCCTGTAGGTCTATTACCTGGTGTTTCAAGAAACACCTTCTCATTTATGCTTAGTCATGGTTCTGCTAGCTGTTTAGCTCTTGTATGAAAGAGGCAGCAGCCACTCCCTATCTAGTCGTCTGTCTTGCTTGTTATTCTCTGGACCTCTGCCATGTTTTCTTACTTTCTCTTAAAATAACTTTTTCAGGCTGAGGCACCCTAGCTTACTCAGTTGGTTTAATACAGAATTTATTCCACACCTTTGACCATTGTTGCTACTTTTCCCTAAATCTTCTTGAATATTGCTATGTTATTTTTGGTGGCAAAGGGACCCAGAACTGCAGAGAGTTCAAGATGCATGCAAAACATGGACTTACAGTGGTATACCAATGTTTGTCTTCTGTTCCCTTCCTAGTATTTGATTTGCTTTTTTAACTTCTGAGCACCAACTTGATGTTGGGGTAGTGTCAGAGTTCCAGGAGACTGTCTTGCTGCCAACATGTCAGCTCAGGGCCCATTGTTTTGTTTGTGAAATCAGGATTGTTTTTCTCCCTGTATCACTTTAAAGCAATGTAAACTCTGACAAGACTATATATAGCAAGAAAAGTATTATTGGAGGTTGGGAGAAAGCCAAGTATTGTGTTTGAACAGCTTTAATCACACAGTGACTGTATGTTTGATGTAGATAAATGTCTTAAGTACACGTAGTAAAAGTAGATGAATTAATAACTCCAGTTTTTTCAAATCTTGCTCTAGAACTTCAGGCACATGGAAGAGGTGGAAATGGATCCCCCTCCCCCTTTTTTTTTTAACTTATTTGAAGTAAGCTGGATAACTGTGGTTTTATTCTGCTTGAAATACAAATATCGTTTTACTACACCCTGAACTTTGGTATGGTGGTGGGTTTTTTTTTTTTTTTCAAGGGGAATTGTTTGGGGTTTTTCTGGGGGGAGATCTCCATCTCCTTCAGACTGGAACAACGGAGAGGAGGAGAATTATTCCATTTGTATCAAATTTTAGCCCACTTGTACCACTGCTGTGACTGGAGCAAAATATGAGGATTAAATTCTGAGTTTTGTTTCTAGCTGCTTTTTGGCTAGCGCTTTTTTTGGCTTTTTAGTGACTAGGAAGAGGCTTTAAGCTCTGTCTTAAAAATGGAATGAGGCTTGCCTTATCCTTTTTCTGTGGAAACTGAGAGGTGATAATATACTGCATCTTGTTTTTAAAAAGTTTTAAAGATATTAAAGATATTTTTATGTGTAGAGGTATCGATGGTGTTCTTTAACTCCACTGGTGTCCTGTGGTTTTGGTAGCTAGTATATAGCATTTTAACACACTAAAATGCCCTGATGCACAGGGTATTTATTAGGTATTTACTTCTGAGAATTTTTTTCGTTGACCTAGATAAGGAGGGCATTTAGGGGTGGTTTTGCCAAATGGAAAGTATAGTTCAGTTGTGTTCTGTCAGTTTTTCTATGGCAGCCATGGCTGGTTAGTAGGTGACTCACGAACATGCCTATGATGTCCTGTTTAGATGTTTAATATGATGTTTAGGTTTTTTTGTTTGAAAATGAGTAGAATGGGATAGAGCTTTGCCTTTAGAGCAAGTTCATATAACTTACATGGGAAGAAAAGGTGTTGTTTTATCAGAAGCATCTTCTTTCTGATGGGATTGTATGTGAGCTCAAAACAGAATATATAGACCATTACTCTGGGGGATTACAATTGTCATGAGGCTGTCATTGTATAATTAATTAAGCAATCTTATCTGCTTGAATGAGCTGTAGGACATTTATCTTCATTAAGCTGAAGAGAATAAAGTACAGTAAATTAGATATCAAAGGAGCTCAATCTTGCTGCCTTTGCTCTCTCCTTCTCACCTTTTTTGCTAAGCAATATTAGGCTAGTGCTGAGGAGCCACCGGCCTGCAATGAAGATACGTATTTTTGGTTTTAGTGTGGTCCTAAGTGGCACACCAAATGGCAAGAAAAAAAAAGATAAATTTGTGGAACTACTATTCTGCTTTCTAAGTTCTTAAATGAGAACTGAGTTTGTAATAGTGTATGTGCATTAAAAGTAAGGCTTCAACTCCAGTGGTAGTGGGGTTTGTGCTAAGCACTGTCCAAACACAAAATGAGAAGTCGACGCTAGCTGAGAATCTCACAAGTGAAAAACCTCACAAGTAAAATAGCCTTACAAGAGGCGAGAAAGATAACATTTCAGTAGAGAAGTTAAGATCCCTTGCCCAGGATCATATGGGTCCTTAGTGGAACTAAGCCTTCATTCTTTTCATTTAATGACTTCTCAAAGTAACATAGCACACACAGATCTTGTTTATGATGTCTTTTTCCTGACAAAAGCTAAATAGTAGTATCGGTCTATACCTGCTTATACTCCAGTAGTAATCTCTTAAGTGTCTTGTAATGGAAGTGTCTAGAAGAACAGCTAGTTCAAAAAATGCTAACCAACCTGTTTCCTCAAATCCCCGGAGGAATCCAGACAAATTAATTCTTAATGTCCCATCCAAGATAGGATAAACAAATCCCAAGTCTTCTGAAAGAAGGCATGTGTAAAGCGACAGAACTGCTAGGAGACTTTGACAAGATACATGTTTAAAAAGTAGTTGTATTGTATTATATGTGGATAGTAAAATTTCCACCCACATTTGGGAAAAGTACAGCCCAGTAAAACCTACATTTGTACTTGGTCAACTTGTTGAATTGATAACTGAAAATAAAATACCAACAGAAGATGCATTAAGGGCAAAGTCTGTCAGATTTTTGGCATCTTGTCTCACCAATGTACTGTAATTGTTAAACAGTAAGTAGGTAAAAAGATCTGCTTACCCTACTTGAACCTTGAATGTGTTACAGCACTCTTACATAAAATCGTTTTAGAGACAGTGCTGTATCTTAATGGAGCTTCTCAACAAACTTGCTTTAAAAGGGTTGAATAAAAAAGTTACGGTAAGGACTCACTTTTCATTTGAACATGGATTATTCAAGCCGCACAAAAGGCTTCTGTGATTAGTGGTCTTTAAATCCAAAGAAGTTTCTAAGTTAGAAACACTGCACAGGAACTTAGGTGGAACTATGGTTATTGTAATATGCCTGACATTCCATATTCTCATCTTCCTAGGTCTTCTCTGTATTACCTCCATTCCTACTGTGGCTCAGCGTTAAAGATCCAGGTTTTCAAAAATCGTAGGCACAGTGCAGGGGAGGAGGCACATGTTAAAACAGTTTTGTTTGGGTTTTTGGGGGGGTTTTGGGTTGGTGGATTTTTTTGTGTCGATATTGTTTTACAGCTGGAGAGGAAGCTCGGGTCCACAGTACCTTTGCAATCATTTGTGGTGGAAGAGCAAAGTATGCATATACTGTTTTAATACAGTTATTGTCAGCATGCTATGTATATAATGTTGTTAGTATATCAGTCTGCGTTCCTCTGAGACAATTTATGTGTTGGGAAGGATAGCACATATTTTGTATTATGGATAGTATTAAAAAAGTAATAGGCATGAGATACATGTCTCTGGAAAAAATGCCTTGAGGTGTGTATACACAGAATTTTCCCATCCATCTTCCAAAAACTTGATGTACACCTAAGTAATTAACATGTTAAACTATAGAAACCCATAAAGCAAGTTTGATTTGTTTCTTATGTTTTACTTCATTCCATACCTTGCAAAAATATTCTCACTATTGTCTGTTAAACACGTAGGGCATATAGGTCTCTCACCTGTCAGAGACATCTACTTTGAATTGTAATATAGGGGTGTGAATATGGCCATAGCAGAGGTGCCCCTTTAACACTCAAGCTCAGATTGAAAGGCTAGATCCAAAACTGGCACCTTTTATTTAATAAAGATCTCAGAACATTAACTTCATAGTAATAGATGAAGTGCCTTTTTGAGACACTTAAGAGGACACTTAGTAAAAATACTGTCCTTGAAGAAAAGCTGGCCTTGGCATCAGGCATGTTTGATTCAACACAATTAATTATCAACATTGATACTCTTATATCCTTAAGTAACTGAAATCTTGTGAAAGGAATAGTTTTTTTAAACTTTTTTCTCCATAATTGATGGTGATTTTTATAATGTAAGTGTCTTTCCCTCTTCCCCAATGGGCAAATACTACTTTGTGATGGTATGTGATGGATTTATTTCCCCACAGCAGTTCTAACTGGACAGAATGATTGTTTCATGATGTTCCTAAGTGGCAGAAAACAGCTTAAAAGTATAAGTGAATCTGATTAGATGGTTTAATAGCAACAAAATGAGCATATTTCTTAGCTTTGCATAATTAGAAATCATAGAATCATAGTAACAGTGTTGCTTCGTTTGATATTGCTGTTTTATTTTTATTTTACTAGAATTAGGGTTACAAATAACTTGTAAACTAGTTACAGAATAACTGGTCATCACAGAAGAAAATATTGTGATACCTGGAAAGTCAATGTTGGTTGAATAGAAGGAAATATGGTTAGAGGATCCTACAAACTTTAACTCTTCTTGGTAGTTATATGCCCTCTCTTTGGTAGTTATATACCAGTGGAAGAGTTAGGGGGGTGTAATTATCTACCTTAGTCTGACGTAGAGCATTGGCCCTAAAAGTGACACCCAAATATGATAGGCTGTTCTTTTAAGCCTGTATACATGTTCAGTTATGTTGCTTGTTATTAGGAATAAATGGTGTAGGTTTAATTGGTATATTCCTTGAATGCTTGATTATAGTCCGTCAAACCCTTGTCATGTGTTAAAGAATAATGATTATGTGTGTTTTTTTTTCTCTAGGTCACCTTTACAAAAAGGAAGTTTGGATTAATGAAGAAGGCATATGAGTTGAGTGTACTCTGTGACTGTGAAATAGCACTCATCATTTTTAACAGCTCTAACAAACTCTTTCAGTATGCCAGCACTGATATGGACAAAGTTCTACTTAAATACACAGAATACAACGAGCCCCATGAAAGCAGAACCAACTCAGATATCGTTGAGGTAACAATTTGAAAAGACACATCAGTTTTCTTAATCTCCTTAATACTTGAAATATAGAGCAATGTAGAGTATTTTAAGATATTTTAACCAAATGTATTTATTAACTTGAAAACCTTGTCATAAAATGTAAACTACCGCTTTTAGTGTGGTTTCTCTAAGGCAATAAGTCTTTACAGCCATGTTGTTTTCCCATCTGCCCTCCACCCCCTGCCAGTTTCTGGGAAACATGTTTGATTTCAACTACGTTTGGCAATGGAAATAGAGGTGTGAAAGATAGTTGTTTTTCTGGGGGAGGGAGAGGGGGAAGTGTTCAACGTTTTAATGGAAAAAAATCAGTTGGATAGAGAATAAGGTCCAGAGAGTGCCCTCAGCCTAAAAGACAGTTATGGTTGGCCCCTTTTCTCTTCTGAAGTAGTAGCCACTTCACCAGTAAATGTTGCACGCTGATCAAATCAGCCACAGCCTGTGCTGGCTCTTGTTCAGCCAAAAAAACCACCCAAAACAAAAAAACCCACAAAAAACCCTGAAAAAGTGAATCTGTGGAGCAAATGAACTTAATTAAATTTGTTTTCTAGTCACTCTGTATGTCAGTTAAAACATAGCAGTAGAATGACTGCATTTTCTGCAGTAATAGAATAGCATGAATATATTTACTCAAAGGTATTGGTTTCTTCTACTTTTATTATGCTTGTGCTTTAAATAGAAACTCTTTCCAGTACATAATTTCTAAATTAGGTGCAGTAGAAGTCAAGGATTTTTCTTGGCAATTGGAGCCTTTATGTACTGTAACTGCATTTCAGATAAGAGTCATGTCTCCAGTAGTCCTGTAAATAGACCAAAACAGGTGGCTGACTTAAGTGTTTCATTTAAATTCTGAAGTTGTCTTCGAACAAATGCCTTGCTTTTTAGGAATGATTTAGGAATAGTGATTAGCCTCATATAGCTGAAGAGCCTATTGCCAAGGGGATCATGGAATACAGGGAGGATACTAGCTGATCTTTCCAATAAGTTTTCAACAAAAATCAGATTGACAAAACTGAGAAATAGACAAAGGCCTTATGTTTTCTTTCTGAGAAGATTCTCTGCTAATTTGTCAACTGCCTTTTACGATCAGAAAGAAAACCTCCCCAACTTCTGTCTTCAGTGTTGAGTACTAATGAGAGTGCTAATACAGGCTCTGAAGAATTGGAGAAGTATTACTGAGTCACTGGATTAGTATAAATAAGGGATAGCCACTCTAGAGGAAGGGAAAACCTAATTCTTTCAAGATGAGCTTTTGACTGTAACAGATGTGAATTTGAGATAGGGATGCAAGCAAGTCAGTTAGCCAGGCTGATTTTTGTTCTGCTTCTAAGGCCTCTTTGTGTTATGACTTGTGGTAATAGTGCTTCTTTACATCATGAAGACTAAGACTAAACCTCTTCCAAAATAATTTCTACACAAGGCTGCCTGTAGTTTTTTGGGGGGTTTTGTTGTTTTTTTTTTTTTTTTTTTTTTTTAAAGTGTCAACTGTTTGACCCCTGGCAACTACATAAAAAAGTGCAATCAATACCCAAGTGCATATATAGTTTCTATTGTGGGGGAACATGCAAGGACTCATCTGCGGGTTCTTTCTAACTTTCCTCTGTAGGTTTACTGTATTATACTAGTGTGGGATTTGGGACTTTACTCTGATTTTTTTAAACGCGGTATAATTTAGGAGTGTGTCTCCCAGTCTTTTCAAATTAGCCCTGTGCACTCTTTAGTCTGTTTGAGATTTTTTTTTTTTTTTTCCTTTTTCTGTCTTAGTAAGAAGTTATTTATCCAGAGAAGGTAGCGTATACCTTTTTTTGCAGGGAAAATATGTTCTTTAAGTTTATGGCTGTGTTCTGGATGGGAAAGTTAAGTTGGTAGGATGAAATATTTCCAAGTTCGATATACATAAGGAAGAGTTGAATTCCAGGAAAAAAATTATCTATACAGTATTTCAGAGAGATACTCTACAGTTTCATTTTTTGCAACTGATTGCATTTCAGCTTTGCTCTGCCTGTATGGTAACTTTGTAGTCTATTAGCTATTGTTCTTCAGGCAATTAAGAGATATCATTCGTGGGTTTGGATGGTTTGCTTCCCACTGTAAGTAAATAATGTCTTTTAATTAAGAAAAAACATTCCTTTTCAGTGGAAAATTATCTACTTCTGTACTATGCAACAGAGCTGAATTGGTTCAATGGAGAACATGATGTGCTTTGGAGCAGATGCCGTGACAGGTACAGCATAGGTAGGAACATGGGAGAAGAGATGAGATGAGGGAAGAGCAAGACTCCTGTCTTTAAGCAGTAGCAAGTTGCTAAAAGCTCGCTGCTTTGTGCAATATCACCATTGACAGATGCTTGTGGCATGATAGAGGTGAAGTTACAGCAGGTTTGGAACATTTTGGAAATGCAAAATGGCTTCTCTTTATTGTGGTTATGTAAAATACTATTTTACCAACAAAAAAATTACACCCCCCCCCAAAAATCTATCAAAAATGTATTAAACCAATTTAGAACAAGTAATTCCATTTTATGGAGTTATGGCTGATGTATATATCTTAGTTAACATTTTAGTAATTCACTTGCCTCCTTGAATATGACAGATGGTATTTATTGTGATGTAGGCTCACTGTGAAACTAGTCTTGACCCAGTGTGTTCCTGATCTGCTTGACAGGAGGGGTTTTTTGCTGTGCTAGAAGGAAAGCTAATTCTACACAGCTCAGAAGCTGTTTAAGGGAAGAAATGAATCTATTGTTACTTATTTTCACTACTGGGTAGATGGTAATGTTGTAAATGATTAAGTGAAATTGATGAGACATCTTCCCCTTATAGTTGCCTCCTGTTCAATTTTGGCATAGGAGTTGCTTTTATATGCCCAGAGCTTGGTATCTTCTGTTGCTGCTGGAACGTTTTTGTGAAAACATAGTAGGAGGGAGAGCACTGGCATCTTAAATGAATGCTAGAATTTTTTTTGATACATGCCCTTATGTCTTTCACTGAATGTGTTATTGTAGATGTGAATGCTCTGTTGCTGTCCTGTACCTATTTTTTTCCTAACTTTTTTGTCCCTTTTATGCTTTTTTGTTGGTTCCATTTTTTCTTTTTATTTTTTAATTTTTGTTAATATTTCCTTGTCCTCCTTTTTTCATTTAATTTCTAAACAGTCTACCTATCAGTAGATTGTTGGATTCTTTACCTATTTCTTACTATGAGTTTTTGTTGTCCTAATTTTTTTCCTTTTGTAGCTACTTAGTAACTAGTAACTGATACGGGTGTAAGGAATATGGTTTTTCAGCAATCTTGGCAGAATCGCAGACTTTTGAATAGCTGGACTTGGACGTTACACAATTTTTTTTTAATATAAGCATAGTTTTCTAACTATAAGTAGTATACTTAGTCCATTCCCTGCCATTTGGTACGTTTAATATTAAGGGAGAAGATCTTGTAACAGATGGCCTGTGACCAGTTTTAAAGGATAATTTGCGTGGCATTTTTGAGCTGGGACTCAACCTCTGTGATCTTCAACTTTTTTGCTGTTTGAATTTGTTTTACAGCATTGGAAAAAAGAGGTGAATAGGGAAAACAGGATTGTTTGGAACACTCAAAATCTTCAGAACATACATGGGTCTGTGAAAAAACTTCCTTGCTTATCAGGATCAGGTACGATTCGTCTAATGGGTTTTTTAGATTAATTTCTGCATCCATCTGAAATATGGGAGGTGAACACGGCTGATGTTGGCAAGGACAGTGGAACTTTGCTTGTGATTGCTGATCTCCTGACCTTTTAGTAAAAGGCATTTACTCAAGAGGTGGTGAGTGTAATGTTTCCTTTAAGCCTCATGAAAGGAAAAAATGATTCTTCTGTTAAAATTCCAAAATAACCTTTTCATAAGATTTCAGAAATAGAAATTATCATTCAAAAAAATTCTTTGATTCTTTCTCTTGGAGAATATGGTCCTTTTCACATCAGATGAGAGAGGTTTTGTTCTGTTGTACAATAAGGTTTCATTCGTCTTATTTTTCCATAGTTAGTTGAGTGAAAGCTCGTGCTCTTGCCCAGGTTAGATGGACCATATAGGGATATTGAAAAAAATGAAATTTTCATTCAGTGCATGCTTTGAATTCTTGAGGATATATATTAGGATCATGTATTTAGTTTCACAAAGCTGTAATGGCACAGTTGAAGATTGTTACACTGAAGTACTGTCTATGATTTGAAGGGCTTGCCGTAGGTGTTACAGCATTTGATGCTTTAATGTTCATGGACTTTTTTCTGTAACACGTTATTCTTGGCAAGTAATTATTTTTTCTGAAGAAAGAAGTAGAATACTTCTGCAGAGTAAAATGGGAAGAATTTTGGGTTTTATCACGATTCTGTATCTATATGATCAACAAAATGTTTTAATGTATAAAAGACAGTTTGAGACCTTGAGCATTCATCCTTTTTTAATCTAAAGCAAAAAAGGGAAATGAACTGCACTCATACTCCATATTCTTCAGTGTAAGGGGTGTTACGATTATTACAGATTCTCTAAAAGGTAACACTTCCATGTTGGGTCCTTCTGTCCCTCAAAAGGGCCTCAGAAAGCAGCAGTCGTTCAGTTGTTCCCTCTCTTTCGGCCTCACTTTTTCTGGGAGTCAAGGGCTGAAGACAGGCTCTTTTTGCCTGTTTAGCTTGACTTTTTATCTCTTTTCCATGCTTTGATGTTCCTTGAGTGATGGAGCAAAACAGGGTTTGCTTCACCTACGCTTGGCCGTGGGTGGGTTGTGCATGTTTCCCCCTATCACTTCATCGAACTGAGGTGATTTGATTTTTAGGAGCCTGTCTAAAAGGTGACCTACTTTGCCGGTTGGCATCTGTGCCCATGAGAATTTCAGAAAGGTGTCAGTCAGTTAACGAAACTCTTCTGTGCTGTATAGTTTAATGCTGTATTCCATATAGTATAGTATGCTGTATAAGGCTTAGGATATACCCCAAATATTGAC